CCTTCCCCCTCCGCCCGCCTTCCCCCTCCGCCCGCCTTCCCCCTCCGCCCGCCTTCCCCCTTGTTTACTTCACTAGAAACATTTTCTATTTCTATTCCTGAGACCTTTTTATCTTATTCCTTAATGTATTCTTTTTCTGAGGTAATTTGTCAGTAATAATTGAGCCTCATTTGTGTTAAATTATTAGAAGTCTAGTATTTACGACTGAAAATAGACCTATATTGCCTTCCAAAGCTGGATTTTCTTCCACAGTATCGATCTTTAAGCTGAAAACTTGGCAGTGTGTCTCTGACAAAAGACAGAATACATGCTAATAGTAACTGTCAAGAGGCAGTAAATGAATCCTTAGCCTTTGGGAATTTGGTCATATCTTCAGGATTTATTGCAAATCTCTGGGCCTCAGTTCTTGCCAAGTGCCTAGTAGAGACCATCTTCTGCAGTATAAATATACCATATTAAATCACTTCAAGATAGTAAAGGACAGAAACTTATTGCCAGGTTAATTATTATAACTTAAAAATTAGGAAGACGTATTGGAAGGTAAATTGAAAGGATTGGAGGACTGAGTTGGCAGATTAGTTCCGAAGTGCTTCATCTCAGTCACAGTCTCGAGCTCCAGGGGGGGCTTGTTAGAACCGTGCATTTTACCCAAGCGAAACTACCTTTCAAGCAACCCAGTCAAGGCTTGATATTGACTGAAACCTTCTGGTAAAACTGGAGACAAGCCAAAACCCATTGCTGTCAAGTTGATTCCTACAGAGTAGAACTGCCCCATAGGGTTTTCTAGGCTGTAGTCTTTTTTTCTTTAATTGTGGTTTAAATGAAAGTTTATGGTTCAAGTTAGTTTCTCATACAAAAATTCATACACAGACACTACTATGTGACCCTGGTTGCTCTCCCCATACTGTGACAGCACACTCTTTTCCACCCCGGATTTTCTGTGTCTGTTCAATCAGCCCCTGTCCTTTCTGACTGTTCATCTTGCCTCCGGACAGGAGCTGCCCATTTAGTCTCATGTATCTACTTGAGCTAAGCAGCACTCTCTTCACGAGTATCATTTTATGCCTTAGAGTCCAGTCTACTCTTTGTCTGAAGAGTTACCTTTGGCAGTGGTTTCAGTTTTGGGCTAAAGGAGTCCAGGGACCATGTCTTCCAGGGTTTCTCCAGTCTCAGACAGTTCAGTCTGGTCATCTTACTAGAATTTGAGTTCTGCACCCCACCTTTCTCATGCTCTATCTGGGACTGTTGTGTTCCCTGTCAGGGCGGTCATTGGTGGTAGCTGGGCACCATCTAGTTCTGGTCTCAGGCTGATGTGAAGTCTCTGGTTTATGTGGCCCTTTCTGCCTCTTGGGCTAATACTTTCCTTGTGTCTTTGGTGTTCTTCATTTTCCTTTACTCCAGGTGGTTGGGACCAGTTGATGCATCTTAGATGGCTGCTTGCTAGCTTTTAAGACCCTAGATGCCACTCACCAAAGTAAAATGCAGAACATTTTCTTAATAAGCTTTGTTATTGCCAGTTGACCTAGATGTCCCCTGAAAGCATGGTCCCCGGACTCCTACCCCTGCTACTCTGTCCCTCAAAGTGTTTGATTATATTCAGGAAACTTCTTAGCTTTGGTTTAGTCTGGTTGGGCTGACTTCCCCTGTAGTGTGTGCTGTCCTTCCCTTCACCTAAGACGATTTTTATCTACTATCTAGTTAGTAAATGACCCTTATCCTCCCTCCCCACCCTCGTAACCTTCAAAGGATGTTTTCTTCTGTTTAAACGTTTTTCTTGAGTTCTTATAATACTGGTCTTATACAATATTTGTCCTTCTGTGACTGACTAAATTCACTTAGTATGATAACCTCTAGCTTCCTCCATGTTATGTTTCATGGCTTCATCGTTGTTCTTTATAATTGCGTAGTATTCCACTGTGTGGGTAGACCATAATTTGTTTATCCCTTTGTCTGTTGACGGGCACCTGGTTGTTTCCTTTTTTTATTGTGAACAGTGCTGCAGTGAACATGGGTGTGTGAAAACTATTTAAAAGTAATAAACACTTATTGGTGCACTAATATCAAAAATGCAAATATTGATTGAGATTATGTGTACATGTGGAAACTTTAAACTGTGAAGTATCTTGTATATATAAGACAGTATTATTTTTCTGTAGCTTTTGATAAGCAGATGAAACAGATTTAGAAGCTACTGAAGCTTAGACTGCAGGGCTCCTTACTTGCATAAGGCCTGGGCCAGGTCCTAGCAAACTGGTATTCATAATTTCTTACTTAAAGACAACTTCCAAATTGTCAGCTCCAGGCTATACAAAACCTCGATGCACTTTTAAGGAGAATAAGACGATTAGTAAAACTGACATATTTAAGAAAAATTACAGAGCATTCCATAGAGGAATGACTGATGACCTTAGGAGGCTTCTGAGGGCCACCGGGGATAAAATGAGTGAGCTGTTGCCCAAAGTGTTTTGAAATGGCTGCTCTCCCAGAGAGCTGGAAGATAAGGGATATAATGGGGAGAAAGTTAGCAAATACTAGGAGAGAGGGTGATGCTAGAGGTAGAATCTGGTTACCATCAGCATATACATGGTATTTAAAACGAGAAAAATAAGTCAGGATAAGATGAAACAAAAACTAAACCTGTTGCCATCGAGTCAATCCGACTCCTAGCGACTCTATAGGACAGAGTAGAACTACCCCTTAGGGTTTCCAAGGAGCGGCTGGTGGATTTGAACTGTTGACTTTGGTTAGCAGCCTGAGCTCTTCACCAGTGCGCCACGAGGGTTCCCAGGTTAAGATAGCGACCTAAAAATAAACCTTTACACTTGGCTTTAGTGGGTAATGGCAGAGGAGTGAAGTAGCTGTGTGAACCCCCGGGAGATAAACAATTATAAAAACTGGATTAAAAACAAACAGGTCAAAGATGCTGTAAAGCATCTAAAACAGAAGCCTGAGAAAAGTTTAATTTCAAAATCCTGCAAACGAAATTTATGAGAATTGAGTTTAAAGCAAACTACAATACTGTATTGATGAGTTTATAATGTACATAGATATAATATGAACGACAGTATCAGAAAGAATAGGAAGTGAGGAAACATACTGTTGCTGGGTTTGTATTATTTTGCCTGAAATAATTGAATTTTAAGGAGTTGTAGCACTGTGACTGTTCAGTGCTTGGCTGCTAACTCAAAGGTTGCAGTTTGAACCCACCCAGCAACTCTCGGGGGGAAAGACTTGGAGGTCTGCTCCCGTAAAGATTACAGCTTAGAAGACTCTCTGGAGCAGTTCTGCTGTGTCACATGGGTGGCTATGAATCGGAATTGACTTGATGACACCCAACAATAATTCAATTTTAATTCTAAGTAGATAGGGATAACTCTTTAAAGATGCATATTGTAAACCCAAAACATTCGCTAAAAAATAATGCTCCGGGGTATATCTAAGAAGCCGATAGAGGAATTAAAATGAAAATACTTGGTTAACCCTAAAGAAGGAACAGAAGACTAAATAAGCAGATGAGACATAAAAAACAGTAAGAGATAAATAAACACAACCTTGTTGATGGTTACAGTAAGGATAGGTAGGTGAAACACTCCAACTAAAAGTCCTAGACTATAAGATTGTACACCAAAATGAGAACTATGTTGTCTACAAGAAATGTACTTCAAATAACAAGACATAAATAGACTGTCTATAAAAACATACCAGGTAAATAAAAAGCAGACAGAAGGCGAGGTGGGTATATTATTAGACAAGGGGTACTACTAGAAACGTAATGAAAAATAATTTGAGACAAAAGGAAAAATCTGTAATCACAAAAAAATATATAGATCAGGGACCAAAAACAAGACAACTGAACCTGTTGCCGTTGAGTGGGTTCCGAGTCATAGCGACCCTATAGGACAGTGGAACTGCCCCATAGGGTTTCCAAGGAGCAGCTGGTGGATTTGAGCTGCTGACCTTCTAGTTAGCGGCCGTAGTTCTTTAACCACTGTGCCACCAGGGCTTGTATACATCAGGAAGATACTTTATTGACACATAATACTTATAATTGCTGTATCAAAATATATGAAGGAAAAACTAACAATGAAGGGGAAAATAACACCTGCACTTGTAAATAGTGAATTAAAGCCATTTTCAGTAGTTGACAAGTCAATTTTAGTTAGTGTATGTAAGATCTGAAAGATGCTACTGGCCTTGTTTTTGGTTGATACCTGACAGTTACAGGACACTATCCCCATTACCGCACACCCCCACTACCATGCACACGTTATTTTCAATGCTTGTGGAATCTCATGCTGGAAAAACCAGTA